AATAATAAAAGTTAAGAGACTAGGGTTTACTTACAGAGAGAATCAATCTAGTAGAATTACCAGGGAAGAGAAGGGAGGGAGTAAAAATTTAATTGAGAATGAACATTTATTAAAGTAGGTGAAGGAAAGAACAATATAGAATAAGTGGACTATTGTGTGTACAGTAATTAATGTTACGGAACAAAATATACATGAATGCTTGACTGGTGGGAGAAACCCCCAAATGCTGTGCAAACTCTTACTCAAATCACAAAAATAACAATTTGGGGGAGGGGAAATAAAAGAAAACTAGTCCCTCCAAAACAGTATAAATAATAATGATTTAATGACTAGCCAAGGATATCTGATCTCAAGAGCAACTTTCCAACATTCTGTTCCTCAGGTGCTTTAACAAGTGACAATACTGTGAAGGTCTTTCAAAATTTCAGCAAGTAAAGACCTTATCTTAGTATTCTCTGGCCAGTAGAGGGAATATTCTGCTTATTTTCCCCTAACTTTTCCCCTTCCATTATTTACCTTTCCCTGAGGGCCAGGTCTTCCCTGAAGCCTGCTGGTTAAAGTCACAGGGTGGGTAGACCATCTGGGCTACATTCATATGACTTTTCGGATTTTTTTTTAACCCTCTAAACAGCCCTATTTTACTACCTGCACAATTCAGAAAAAGCATGTGTCCTTCAGAACATGGGAAAAAGAAAACCACCTCACTCTATACCATTCAATATGGATAAACACATGCCTCCTTAACTGGGAAAGCAAGGGGAGTAAGACTCTACAGTAAGAAAAAAATAATAAAAGAAGACTCACTGTATATACCATGACAGCTCTTTTAAACCAGAAATTCATCGTTAGGGAAAAGTCAAGAAAATTTAGATTACAAAGGCTTTGTCTTAATTAAGATGCCTAGGTCAATAGCAACTAACAAAGCTTTCTTCGACTATAAAAACAAATACAACTTTATTTTATTTTAAAAACAATTCTATGCATAAGACAGAGAGAAGTATATGAAAACTATTTATTTTATTCCCTTCCCTATTCCTCTCCCCAAAGGCAAAAGTATTATCTACTGTCTGAAATACACCTCTATGTATGTATTTACATGTGAAAGTATATGCATATGTTCTCTACTGGTTGCATTGAGTCTGTCCTATGTTCAGACCCATGAATTGCTACTGTATTGCTTTTTTTAACCTGTACATGTATGCATATTTATGATATTGGTTTTTTTTTTTAAATCCATAGGGATAGCCCTATATGTTGACTTATCTCTGCTTTTTAAACAAGGTCTTTTTAATTGCCAGATGGCATAAGAGAAGACTGCTGAGCAAGTATGAGTTTCACTGTTGGCTTTGCCCTTTATTTCCCATGTAAACTTAGTGAAACTAAACTCTGTACCTCTTCCCTTATCAATAACATGGTCTTTACAGAACAGCATTACCACAAAGCATTGTTGTAAGAGTTACCATTTATTTGCAAAGCACTTGGACCAGTTCTGGGCATAACAAAATCCTTTATCTGCTTGCTAAAGTAAAAAGAAAAAAAAATGTCCTCCACAGATAAATCATACACAGTTTTGCCATGTATCTTTAAAAACATG